CACATTTGTTTTAAAAAGTGGATTGTGGTGCATTTGTTTCAGCCTCTGTCTCTTCCTTCCTTCTTCCTAACCCTGACCCTGACCCCAATCCTAACCCTGACCCTAACCCTGACCCTAGTCCTGTTGACCAGCGACTCCTGACCCCATGAATATGGACGAATTATTGATTTTTAAATTCCAACATATTCTCCTATAACTGGAGAAAATGTAAAAAGCCCAGAAGCTACAACACAGTTCTCGTGTGACGTCACAAGAGAACGGTTTACGCAAACAGAGGGAGCCTGAGGCCGTCCTCTGATGCAGATTATATAGATGGGTCGGTCCAAATGGTTTTCCACTTGGATCCGCTTCCTTTGAGGATGTCTCCAACCGGCACTCACTGAGAGTGTCTGTAATCAGAACTGTGACGATGATGATAATAATAATAATAATAATAATAATAATAATAATAATAATAATAATAATGGACCCTAGTCCTGGTCAACAGGACTAGGGTCAGGGTTAGGATTCTGTGGAGTTTGTAACTGACGGCCATCTTGGTAGGCAGTTTTCTGGAGTTGCTATGACAACAATAAACAAGCCACAAGCTTAGAGCTAGCGCTGGCCTCATTCACATTACAACTATAATTTCACTATAATTTGTGAGTTCTCTGTGTAATACTACAATAAATATCAGTGATACTGCAGAACTAGCGGTTAGCTTAGCTAATGTAGCCAACATGTCTGTGGCTACATGTCCTCACGCTGCCAGTCACCAGGTGAATAAACACTCTTCATATTCACTAGCATTATCGTCTGACATGTCGGTCCCGACAGCAGCCATTTTGTTTCATATATCTGTCTTGCTCATTGGTCAGGTGGGTCCATATGCTTTGCTTCTGTTGCTCTGAAGCCCTGGTTCAGGACCAGCATGGTGCAGATCATTTCCGGTTCCGACTCGATGTGAAGGAACTGTGTCGCCTCCCGTCTGCATGCGAACCCCAAAGCGTTCATGATGGCTCCTCTGGTGCTGTGGCTGCAGAACCTTGTCGCTCGTGCGACGGTTCTGCATGTGGGCTGAATTACAGCCGGTCGGACCTGCAGCTGAAGTGACACAGAGCAGACGCGCCTGCAGTTTTTGAATGAGCAGCAGAGCAGAGGGTTTGTTGTTGGAGCCGCGCTGTCTGCTCACGGCAACAGCTTTCGGTTTGGGGAGCGCCGCGGAACGTGACGACCTGATGAAGTGGAAAGCTCATGAGCTTCTCTGCTCCCCATTTTCCACACGAAAGGCAGATAAACACCATAAAGTCACATGAACGCCGGCGGCTCACAGAAGTGACCTGAACTCAGACACGTCTGAGGCAACCTGACAGCATGCAGACAGGAAGCTGGAGTTTAATGTTCAGCAAGCACAGTAAAAATGACAAAAAGGTCAAAACTCATTCTGGAAAAAGGAAAGTCTGAGGTGTTTTCTCTGATTCTGCCTCCAAGGTTCATTAGCATCCCGTCTGTTCCCGCTGGGATCTGAGGCTCTTTAAGCTAATCTTCTGTTAGCTTAAAGTTAGCCGGTTTGATCCGTTCCAGAACCAGTTTGGATCATTTCCAGCTGGAGCGCCCAACTGGGATCCAAACATCCAACATACTGGTTTAACGAATCCAGATGGAGGCCCCACAGCATGATGCAGCCACCACCATGCTTGATAGATTAGATTTAAATACATGTGAAGGATGAAAGTCCAGATTTATTATTCTGGATTGGTCGACTGAAGTCTGAATGATTTAGACTTTATTACTGCAGAACTGAGTTATAATTACACGCATGAATAAATAGGAAAGGCTAGTTTTAGCTAACAACTTTAACTTGTTAACCGTTTTTCGGAAAACCCGAATTCCAGCTCAGGTAAACAGAAAAACCTTTTCTGTGAAACTCAGGAAGTTTTGTCAAGTATTTTTTTCATGGATGTTTTCTGGCTGCATGTGGCGACAGCAGAAAGGAAAACTCTCCTTTAACAGGAAGAAAGCTCCAGCAGAACCAGAGCAGAAGCTTCCACGTCTCCTTCAGCGGCTCATCCAGGAGGGAACCCGAAGGGTTGGGGTCAAAGGTCAAGGCAGGATCTATCAGAGGTTAAATCTTGTTTGCAGCTTAAACGTCACATGTAGAGTCTGAGTGAAAAAAGATTAACTGGAGCACAAAATGGATTTCTTCTGGTTCTCATTTGTTCAATTCTTTTTTTAATCTCCTCTCAAATTATAAATGCAGTCTCTTTTAATAAATCTCTTCTGCAAATGTGCTGGTAATTTACTGTTATGTATTTTAAACATAGCTTGCAGAATCCAACAGTCCACCAAGTCGTGAAATTTCATTAATCATGTCATCATGTAATCATGTCACTTCATAACATGAGTCCAACCTGCTGCGACGTTCCAGAAAATAAAACGGCTCTCTCAGGAACAAGCTGTTCTAAAAGCTTGGAATTAAAAGTTCAGAAATGGATCTGTGGCTTTTTTATTTCGGTCCAAGCTCGGCTCGGCTGCAGCGCGTTTGAAGACGCGGACCGGCGCGGCGCGGCAGCCAATCAGAGCGCGGCGTTTCACTGGCAGGACGGCTGGCACGGCGCGGTCAGGGGTCACTGAAGAGGTCAAACTGATGGAGGTGACTGCCAGGCCTGCACTGTAAAACATTATTACTGATCCTCTCAACTCTCTGCCTTTAGTTCTTATTAAATTAACTGATTGAGTGACATTAACTTGAGCACTTCCAGCTTCATAAATCCATGTTGTTATTAAACGGCAGCCAGATTCATTTGTTTTAACTTGAGTTATGGAAAAAGAAAATTACTTGATTGAAACAAATCCTGCTTTTTATTTGCTTCTGATCTCAGATTTTTACGGAGCCACATTAGAGCCGTTAAACTGAAAAAAGGAGCAAATTTGAAAGAAAAGTTCAGAAATCTGGAGACTAAACTCAAAATTTCTGTTTTTAAAGATTTTTTTATGAATCTCAAAATTGTCTCACAAATTAACTCCAAAACCAGAGGAATAAAAAATCAGAAGGACTGAATGGAAAAAACAGATAAAAAGAAACAAAATAAACCTCCAAACGATCAATCAACTAAATCAACAATCTTTCAATATTTTGAGTATTTTTAGAAACGAGTTTTTACTTTTGGTTCACAAGATGATAAAAGGAAAAATAAAATCTTTCATGACTGTAATCTCAGAACTTAATCCTGTAATTTCGTCTCAAAATTTTGAGATTCTCAAAATTTGAATCTTTGTTTCCAAATCAACTTTAATCTCTGATCTTTTCCAGAGGTTTTGATCATTTGTTTATTTTTTTTTTACTTATTTGGATTTTGGGTTTTTTCTGCCTCTGCAGCTTTTAGTGATGAGAATCTAAAACCCAGAGGAAGATTTCACACTTTCAGAGATCAGACATGAGTTTGCACTTTTCAAGCCCAGTGGAGTTTCTTTAGCCCAGAAGGATGTGAGGAACAGGAGGAGGAGCAGCAGGAGGAGGAGGAAGACAAGGAGCAGGAGGAGGAAGATGAGGAGCAGGAGGAGGAGGAGGAGCAGGAGGAGGAGGAGGAAGATGAGGAGCAGGAGGAGGAAGATGAGGAGCAGGAGGAGGAGCAGCAGGAGGAGGAGGAAGATGAGGAGCAGGAGGAGGAGGAAGATGAGGAGCAGGAGGAGGAGGAAGATGATGAGCAGGAGGAGGAGGAGGAAGATGAGGAGCAGGAGGAGGAGGAGGAAGATGAGGAGCAGGAGGAGGAGGAGGAAGATGAGGAGCAGGAGGAGGAGGGCGGTGCGGCTCCGAGGGAGGAACAGATGGATTGATGCATGAATGGATCCAGGGGGAATTAGGATTTGCATGGAGCAGAGAAAAGGGAGCAGAGGGGAAGAAAAGAGCTGGAACATCGAGTTCCTTCAGTGGTCAAAAAAAGAGCACGATGTACATCCTTTAGCTGGAGGAAATTTCCCCTGCAGAGACGCATCATTAAAACCCTGCTGCTTTATTGTCCTAATTAATCTCTTCATTATCACCAGATTTATGTCTCCCAGGATCCTGTCACGCCCCTCAGTTTCTGGAAACTGCTTTTATTTGTTGTTGTTTGGGTCGGAGCTGCAGGATCGTTTGTGACTAAAACGTTCCCAACGCGTCCCTCCAAAACAAGAGCCGGAGGAAGCGGGAGCAGAACCCGCAGATATGTCGGCTTTGATTCCTCCCGCTGCAGAGCAGCCTGGATGTTCAGCTCTGCAACCAAAGCAGCCGCATTAAATCGTTACGCAGTCACTCACTCATTCCACGGAAAAGCTGAGTTTTTTCTGTTCTCTCAGCGGAGCGTGGATTACAGCTTCAAGTCGCAGTTTGGGGCTGGCGATGTGATAAAACTGTCATTTCTGCGGAATGCCGGGCGGAACAGCGCCTTCTAGCGGCGAGCTACGCCTCCAGCTTCACAATGCAGCGGGAAAAGTTGCGGATTTCTCCGGAGTTTTGCATTGAAAGCGGAGAAAATGCGCTCGAAAAGGCGGTTTGCAGCAGAACAGCGCAGCCCTGTGCGCACTTTGCGGCTCAAGCAGCGCAGCAGGACCTGCTTCCCTCTGGACGCAACAGGTGCTGCGGAGTTTCTGCGCACAAACCGAGAAGAAACGCAAACCGCGGGGGGTTTCCCGAACTCTTCCCTGCACTTTTCCTTTCATTTGCGCTGACAGGAGACAAACTGCGGGGATTTTCGCTCAAACAGAAAACTTCTCCCCTCTGATTTCTCTTTCACTTTTGGTGCAAACGTCAGGAGCTGCGCGTGGTTCGGTGCACAAGTGGTTTTGTTTGCGGGATCCGCAGGTTTTGCGCATCAGTCGAGCCGTCACTCCGTGCCTCGGGGTGAAACTGGGATCCTCCTCCTCCTGCTGGCCGCCGGCCAGGCCGGGAACAAGTGCGCCTCCCTCTGCTGCTGCGCGCCGTATTCATGGTCCCGGGTTTCTGGGCTGTTTTAAAAGGCTCTGCAGGTCTGCAGCTGATCAGTCTGCTGAGGAAAAGTGCTGCTGCTGCCGCTGCTGCCGCTGGAGAGAGTCTGCAGGAGACCAACAGGAAGGAAAGGCTGCGCAGGACGCCGCTGCTGCTGGTTTGGTTTTTTACTTTGCAGAGAGAAAAACTCCTGAAGCCCAGAGAGAAGTCCTGCTGTTGATGACGGGTTTACTGGAGCGCTGCACTCCTGGATAAACTGTGAGAATCGGATTATCTGCGCTGAGTCGGGCTGTCCGTCAGACCGGGACGGACTGAAGATGTCCCTGAGCTGCTGCCTCCTGCTCACCATCATCCTGGGACTCTCTTCCCGCTGCTCGGCCTCCTACGTGCCCTGCGAGCCCTGCGATGACAAGGCGCTGTCCATGTGCCCGCCGGTGCCTGTCGGCTGCCAGCTGGTGAAGGAGCCGGGCTGCGGCTGCTGCCTGACCTGCGCGCTGGCCGAGGGTCAGGCGTGCGGCGTCTACACGGGCACCTGCACCAAGGGGCTGCGCTGCCTGCCGCGCAGCGGCGAGGAGAAGCCGCTGCACGCCCTGCTGCACGGCCGCGGCGTCTGCACCAACGAGAAGGGCTACAAGTCCGCCGCTGCCGCTGCCGCCGGAGCCGCGACCGGAGGTAAGCCGGCCCGAGGAATGTGCGACCTGCTGCACCTGTAAGCAGCTAGTGCACATTTAAACTGAATCAGTTTTGATTCAAACACTTTTATTTCAGTAAATTAGTTTCTTTTCATTACATTGCAGAATGTATGGAAGGAGAACAGCCTCAAAAAGCCTCTTTTCATTGTTTTGTTTACACTTTCTGGGAATATGCAAACCATCCAGCCTCAGTTTCAAATCAAATTTCAACCATTTAGAGTTAAAAATGATCATTTTGGTGAAAGAGTTATATTTCCTCTGCTTTATGTTGACACATTTTCTGTTAAAATGCAAAATGTATGGAGGGAAAAAAACTCCAAAAATCCTTTTTATCCCAGTTTACTATTTCTTTTTGTGTTGCAGTTTGTTGGATGCAAACTGATCTGCACCTGTTGCCACATGTCTTGATTTATGTAAAATAAATGGAAAATGTATGGAGGGAAAGTAAGGACAAAATTCTAATGTATGATCTTTGATACACTTTTTTTAGTTTTGCTAAAATCATGAATTTCAATTATTTTTAGGATAAAAATAAACTGAATTCGACGTGTTTTCCTGCGTGATGCTCTGCAGGGTTACATCCGCATGCTGCGCCTTTTAGTTGATGTCCTGAAGTTTTGCATCACAACTGATACATTCGGCTTTTGCAAAAGATGCAACTTTTCCTCTGCCTTTAGCACAACTGACACGTTTTGCATCCAAGCGTTTAAAGGGACGGCGCAGGGGTTGGTGGGTTCAGCTGGAGGTGGATCCTGGGTCTGTTTCTGCCCGGGGCCCCATGCAGAGCGGATGCAGCCCTGCTGGACGAATGACTGAAGCTGGAAGTGAAGAAGCCACGCAACGTGACGCATGTTGGTTTTAGAGCGTGGTTTGCGTCTGTCGCGTTTTTTCCTCTTTATTGAGTTTGTAAAGCATCGTTGAGGCTCAACGGGAGGTGATGCAGATCGGGTTTGCAGGCCGCCCTGCCTGGCTGCTCAGAGTCGGATTACCACTAAATCTGCGTGTGTGAGGCTGAGAGATGGAGCCGTTTGTCTTGAATGATTGAAGGTGTGTCTGTCACTCTGGGGTTTCATCAAGCAACTGGATCCAGTTGGTCCAGACAAAGGTTTCAGAACCAAGGTGTTCCGTTGTTCTAAATATAACCCGCTGTTGTGCGAAGCATCGATCGCTATCTGACGTCACATGAAGCCGGAGCTGCCTGTCAGAATCATGTGCGCGTGTGTGTGTGCGTGCGTGCGTGCGTGCGTGTGTGTGTGTGTGTGTGTTTGACTCAGGCAATGCCGTGTGGATTGTGGGTTGGTGGTGATGACAAGTCAGGCAGTTTTACACCCAGAGACATCGGAGTCTGAATGCTCCAGAGGACAATCCGTTCACAAACTGACCGGCAACCCGCTGACCGGCAACCTGCTGACCGGCAACCTGCTGACCGGCAACCTGCTGACCGGCGACCTGCTGACCCCGTCTTCAGGTTCAGGTCGACAGGCGGCGGTGTCTCTGCTGGTTTTGGTTTGATGAAGTTAAAAATCGATTCGCTGCGTCTGCTTTTGTTTGACCCGATTAAGCCCAAAGGAACAATCTGAAAATGTGACTTTTTTTGGCTAATTTGTTCCCATGTAAAGCAGCTTAAAGTTGGTCAACCAATCAGATCCAGTTGATCAACGTTTGAACATCAGATGTTCCATGAGGCCCCAGGATCCTGAAACGAGGGAACATGTTTCAGGATCCCCAAGTTGTAAGATCGTCTTGGGAAAATTGGCTGATGATGCGGCGGTTTGACTGTCAATAAGCCAAGTAAACCAGATTGACCTCTTGGTGTTTGTGGTTGGAAACATTGAGGTGGTTTTCCAGTTCACGGATTGTCCTGCTGATTTTTGTCCTGCTGATTTTTGTCCTGATTTCTCCATACAACCTGATCTTCAGGGTCATGGTGAGAGACGTTCCTGCTGTGTGTTCACAGCGCTCTGTCTGGTATCAGGGACATGGACATGTTGGATCGTCTTGGTCCGATATCGGCCCATTGAATGCAGCATGTAGCCAATCAGAAAGCGAAGTGACAGAAACATGGAAAGGAATCAAAATACACCAAAGTCCAAACAACTGGGAAGTCTGGTGGACATTGTCAACGTCTTTGTGTCAGTTTTTCTGTTAAATGTCACAAACTATCAGCGTTGCTTCTTCCCAGTCGGCCGTGTCTCTCTTAACTCACGTTTGACAGACTGTGAGATTTCTGAGTTGAATTTTGGTGAATTAAATCAGTTTGAGACTTTCTATTGTGTCGGGTCTTTCAGGTTTTGAAGATGTTGCCATGTGAACCAGGCCCGGTATCTCTCTTGGACTTGACCTCTGCTGGGTGAGACCCTGGGGTTTGATGGGTCGATTGGTTGTAGGTGTGATTCCTGGAGACCTCAGCCCTGAGTGAGTCCAGGCCGTGGATTCCTGTTTGTTGCTGCTTCTTGCCGGGTTCGGGTCGAAGATGCTTGTCTGTTCTCCTGGAGCCGCCCGGTTGTGGACCGGCCAGCGTCTGGTCTCTGCAGCGGACCAGCTGAGCGACGCGGACCGGGAGGAGGAACCGTGAACTCTCACGCCTCCCCATTAAGTCCTGCTCTCCTCCTGCGCTGGGATCCAGTTGCTCCGGGGTTGGTGTGTGCTCTGTTGGCTCTGCGAGTGACTCAGAGCCGGGGAAGCTTGCCAACAGATATGACTTCATGGCAGCAGGCCTTGTACCCTCGGGGCTTCTGAAAGGGCCTTATGTTTCAACAGATTTCTCTCTGCCAAGAAGCAGAGGATGATTAAGAAGTGGTTCCTACGGCAGAATGCTTGCAAAGCAACAGGAAACCTGCAGCAGTCTCACCCTGCATGTGCAGCTTTCTGCCAGCGAGACGATCTCACGCCACTCTGGCATTAATATTTACAGTCATCAGCAGACGAGGCCTCCAGTGTTTCATGTTCGCATGAGAACTTCACATATGACCGGCGGTACCAGCGTGTTTCCCATTAGCATGAAGGAGCTGCATGTCGACGCTCCTCGGCTTTCAGTGCCAACATCTGTTCACGGCTGATTGAGACGATCCAGAATGCAAACATCGTCCAGTGGGGCGGTCAGACTCCCGTCCATCAACCCGACGGGCCAGAATGACTTGATGGAACCCGTTAAACTTGGACGTTGGCGTTCAGGCTGAAGTTTAAAACACTGCCACCTGCAGGTCGGAGTTTGTCTCTGAAATCAAATGTTTCTGACCAACTCTGCAGAAACTTTGCAATAAACTAACAATTATGAATTTCCATGAAAACCTGGAGACTGATTGATGTAATTTGTTAGTAAACATAAAAACGGCTTTGATTTGATTGCAGAAGCATCTTTGAACTTTGGTTTCCAACAGAAACGTGTTTTCTGCTCCCATAATCAGAGAGCTGAGCTGGAGATCCTGTTAGCCGCACTCTGTTAGCCGCGCTCAGTTAGCCGCACTCTGTTAGCCGCGCTCAGTTAGCCGCGCTCAGTTAGCCGCACTGTGTTAGCCGCGCTCAGTTAGCCGCGCTCTGCTAGCTGCGCTCTGCTAGCTGCCCTGTTAGCCGCACTCAATTAGCTGCGCTCAGTTAGCCGCACTCAATTAGCTGCGCTCAGTTAGCCGTACTCAGTATATACTTCAGTAATATGAAGAAGTTCTTCCTGAACGCAGAGAAATCTCTGAAGTTTAAACAGTTGGTTCAAGTGCATTTGCTGCAGCTGGCCCTTTAAGAACATTCATGGTGTTGGAAGTGGGAATGAGTTCAACCTTCGCTGTGGATCCTCTCTGGATCCTCTCTCTCTGGATCCTCTCTGGACCTGCAGATCCTGCAGATCCGGAGGATTTATCTGGACGTATCTGGAGGTTCGTCACAGCCAGCCGTTGCTCTGCGGTGACCCAAACAGACGCTGCCTGCTCGCCTGCGGCTTGTTGCAAACCCAAACCCAAATATGGGACAAGACCTCAGACCAAAATTAGCCGAGTCCAAAGGAGCAGCAGGGCTGTTTGCTTACCGACGGCAGCTCTTCCTTGGGAAACGCGCCGCCTCCTCCTCAGGTCCTGTTTGGAAACCGACGGGCATCGGATTGTTCTGGTGGCTATTAATACGGCCGGTCCAGAAACGCAGGAAACGTTTTGATGCAAAGGAACGTTCTGAGCTCACAATGCTGCGGGGAGAGCTGCTTCATGCTGCTCTGACCAGACCCAACCCGACCCGACCAGAACCAACCCGGCTTCACTGATCTGACCAGAACCTGGTCTTTTCCAGATTTTCCAGCTGCGTCAAAATGAGAAACATTTTAATCTGTAGATTTTTAAAAACTTGCTGAAAACAACAATCAGGCAAAACATTATGACCAAATGCCTGAAACTCGTCGTTTCTTTAGAGTTTCCTTCCCTGCAGCCAGAAGGAAGGAAACTCAGCCAGTCTGCATGTTTCCTGCTGCGCTGCAGCGTTTCAGGCAGAAGCCTTCAAATATTCAGATGCGGCCCCGTCCTGCTGCGGCGGCCCCGTCCTGCTGCGGCGGCCCCGTCATGCTGCGGGATGGTTTACTGTCATTGTCCTCTGCGCGGCCCTCAGGCTCATTTATCTCCATTCACTGCTGTCTTACATCTGGTAAAGATGTAATTTCAGAGGCAGCGAATCAAAGCGGGTCGCGGCGGACCAGGAGCCGCCGAAACCCAGTGAGAGCTGGGAGAACCGGACCCGCCTCGCTCCGTCCCGATGCAGCGCAGAGAGAAACACGAAGCGAGCCGGGCTCGTCTTTCACTGCTGGCCCGCGGCCCGAGAGGAACCTGGGATATTCATGAGGCCTAATTGTGAGCAGATGTAAATTTTTAAACAGGAGTATCAGGTGCGGCGCTGCACAGGAGTTAAACCAGGCCCTGTGAGCCCAGAACCGGCCCGGTACCACAGCATGGAAAAAGTGAGCAACGGATTGTTAACGCTTTTTTACATTTAAATTGAGATTTCTCCTCAAAGGGATAGAAACGTGTTTTCCAGGCACATGGTGCCATTTTATAGCACAATCTAGAAACCATGTTAGCTTCAGCTGTTAGAAAAATGCTAAAAATGTAAATCAGATGCAACTTAAAAGTCATATCGGATGGCCTTTGAAACTGGGTCTCTGTCTCTTTAAGAAGCTCCTGCTCTGTCTGGAGCTGGAAGTCATCCCAGCATGGCTCCTCTATTAACCCTTCAACATTTTCAACTGAGAAGCAGCTCCTGGAATGAGCTCAGCAGCCGTTTGCTGGTTGCTACTGGCTAGTCTGGAGGAGCTGAGAGGGGGCGGAGCTTCACCTCCAGGGCGGGGCTCGGTCCACGCAGGCCTATGAAACTGTTTAAGGGTTGCCATGGAAACAAACTGCAACACTGCATGAAAAGCTGAAAGAAGCTGATTTTCCATGATACCGCCCCTTTAAGTCAGCGAGCTGCGTGTTTAATTTATGGCCTTTTTTTGTTCTGCTGCAAATGAAATTACACACGAAACAAGAATGTGTGTAAAAAAAGACCTTGTTTTCAGCAGCCGTTTTATGGCCAAATATGTGGCATTTCAATCCAAATTATTGGACTGTAGCGAGGAGTAATGAGTTTTTCCACAGCGGTCACATGTAGGAATGCTTGAAGTATTTATTTATAGCAAGTGACAGCCTGGCAGTCTGAGCGCGGAGACACAGCGACGTATCTAAACACGAAGCCGGGCCTGCCAAGTCATGAGTTGTTAGATTCATTTCAGAGACGGGGAGCAGAAGCCAAGTCCTGATAATCAGCCCCCCGCCGGTCCCGCCGCTCCAGACGCTCACGCTGGGTCAGGCTGCTCCTCTTTAACCCAGAACAACCGTTTCCCTCCCTACTCCACCCGCGTTCGGTTCCGACAGCGCTCTCTGCTCCTTTGGGTCTGACTCGGTGCAACACGCCAAACCGGACGGATAGAACCGGGTCACTCACCACAACAGCCCTGCACCTGGGGGCCGGCAGAGCCAAAGGGGAGGAGGGGTGCGCGGGGGCCGGGGCTCGTTCTGTGGCCTTAAAGGACCCCTGGTGGGGGGTCCGGGCTTAACAGGCCAAACCCCCAGAGACAGACGGGGGGCAGGGATCTCCACTGGGAAAACTCACATTCAAACCTGAAACCCAAGCAGCAGCGGGCAGAACCGCGTCTCGGATCATGTTCTGGTCCAGGTCTGAGTCCAGAACCGAGGCCAAGGGGAACCGCTAGCTGAACGTTAGCTGCACTAACTAAACATTGGTTCAGTCAATGAATACAATATCTACACATTATGTAGCAGAAGCTCATGCTAAAATGCTACATCAACATGTCCAAGCTAATGCTAAAGGGGAAATGGAAGAGCTGTGTAAACAACCTTCATTCACTTCAAAATAAGAGCATAAAACTACCTGAAGAATCCTCAACAGTCAACAACCAAAACATCAACAAAGATACTGAACTTTATTCAAAAGTTTACTCAATAAATTATCACATTAAAATTTATTCAAAATAATTTAGGTGAGCTAAATGTTTCTACCGTTAGCAAAGGTTAGCTCTGCTGTTAGCGCATTAGCAGTAGTTGCTCACCAGTTCAACATGATGAGTTAGCATAGCTTGCTAACAAATATTTAAGTATTGCTCTAGTCTCCTCCCTCAAACATGTTGAGTTTGTGCTGCAGAATCTGGATCAACGTCAGTTTGTTGCTTTGTCTCCTGTGGTGGACAAAGACGCATCATTCCTGCCCCGATGCAGCAAATCCTCCAGTTTGTGACCTGGTGTAACGGCGTTTGGTTGGTGTCGTCCTGCAGATCGGGAGACGCGGGTGGAGGTGGACATGACTCCGGACGTGACGGGCGTGGTGCAGCCAGCCAAGATGCCGCTGCATCCCAAAGACATTGTGAACAGTAAAAAAGTGATCGCAGTGCACAAAGAGCGGAAGAGGAAGCTTGGCAAGCAGCGCTCCTTCAGCGCCGGCGTGGATTATTCCCCCATGGACATCGACAAGCACGAGCCTGAATTTGTAAGTTCAGTTGCGGACGTTTGCTGGTCTGAGAGCTTTTAAAGGTTTTAAATGTTGGTTTTTAACAAACTGCTGAATTTTTCTGAAGGGTCCCTGTCGGAGGAAACTGGATGGGATCATCCAGAAAATGAAGGACACTTCCAGGGTCATGGCGCTGTCTCTCTACCTTCCCAACTGCGACAGGAAAGGCTTCTTCAAGCGCAAACAGGTGGGTCAGGCAGCAGCGAGCAGAAGGTTTTAATACCATCCTTTCTCCATCTGCAGCAGTCGTTGCCTCACACATGATTAAATCTTGAGTAAACATTGCTAATAATTGAGTTTAGCAGGTGCAAAGCACTGACAACCTTCTGATTTATCGTTTGCTGATGGAACCCAGATAGAAATTCAGTTTTAACGATGAAACAATTGGTACTTGACGTTTCGTGGCGCAGAACCAACCTTTGGGAGCTTTCCTGATCCTCCAAGAGGAAAGCAGATAAATGTGGATTTAAGGGCCTGGGAGGTTTGGGTGGCTGTTTGTGGGCAGTGCAGGTCAACAAGGCCTGGGCTGAGTCCTTCTGGCTGCTTTAGCGCCAAACGTCCGTCCATCTGTACCGGCTCAGTACCTGCTGGGTTCTGGTGGACACTCCACTGCTCAGAGACGTGACTTCACTGAACCGCTTCCATTAGAGCAACAACCTCACTGACATGTTGTAGGACAGCCAGAGGAAGTCATGATCTGTGCCACTTCAGCGTGTGGAACTACATCACACATATTTAACCTGTAGGTCATCGGTGTGAGACATGCATCATAATTCTGCTCCGAAAGACGTCAAATCTGGACGTAAGCAGAGACTGAAGCAGCTTCTGTCAGCGGCGGCCATTACTACAGGACGGAGTGCTGCTGCCTGACAACGATGTTGTTCTTCTGTGCATGTCGGTCACTTTGGGGTCTCAACCCGTTCACACAGAACTCTGACTGCAATCGCATTTAATTAGCATGAACAACCAGGCAAGAAATAAATATTGGAAATCAGCAAAAAGTCGGAGACCTGCTGTGTCTTAAAACGTCAAATCATTCTACTAAATCTGTACAGATCAAAGGTCAAGAAAAGGGCAACTAACGTGACTGCAGATCCCACACATGCTGGACATGAACTGCTTAGATTCAGCCTGGAAGTCGACGCTCCAGAGGCAGTTTCTCTGAACCGTCGGCGCTCAGGCCAGTGAATGTGGCTGCTGGTTGCTCGTCTCTTCAAATCGCCTCTAGCTGTAGATATGCGGCCCAGAACGCTGCGATGCATTCGGTTTGCTTTGTGTTCGTTTCCACTGAAACTGTCCCGTTCTCTGATTTTGCAGTGCAAGCCGTCTCGTGGCCGCAAGCGCGGCATCTGCTGGTGCGTGGACAAATACGGCGTCATGCTGCCGGGGACAGACTACAGCGGGGGGGACATTCAGTGCAAAGACCTGGAGAGCAGCATCAACGAGTGAAAGCCCCGGCCCCTCTCCCCCGCCCCCATCGCCGTCACATGACCCGGGGCCCACGCATCTTCTGAGTCACACCTGTATGCTCCGCCCTCTGCTCACACCAACAACCTGTTTTTACCAGAGACACTGAGAAAAAGCACGATTCTCTGCTTACAGAGACCACTTCGGATCCCCACCTCTTCATTTGACTGTAAAAAATTCACCACAAGAAGAAGGAGGAGAAAACCGAGCAGCTGTGTGTGGTGGGATGGAGAATTGGTTGAGAAATGATTGGTTTCTGGTTTTTCTGGGGTTTTTAGAGCACTTATAGAAGTGGATCCTGATTAGAAACCTGTGTGAAAGTGTGACGGGTTGGTGTGTTCCAGAGTGAGCCCATTTCAGAAACAGAACCAGCAGCAGAATGTTGTATTTCCTCCTCTTTGTTCGACCGTCGCCAACCCGACGGCCTTCCTCTCCAACGCAGCGAACGTCTTTGGGACTCGGAGCGTTCAGACGGTCGCAGACGAACACGTGAGCGGCTCTTCGACCACGTAGCTAGCCTGACATGCCAACTGTGCCTATGAAAGCTGCCGGGCGCCGCGCAGCGCCACGCAGCGCCGTGCAGCGCCACGCAGCACCGCTGGTCAAATCAAAGACTCAGCTTCAGCGACGGAAAGCACGTTTGATTTTTCCGAGTTGGGATTGCTTTCTTCGGGGGGCGGGGGGTCAACCTTGCCGATCGGGCCGCTTTCCTCTCCAACTGACTCATTTTTGTGGTTTTATTTGTGATTTATTTGCCTTCAGTGAAGTAAAAGGCCGCCCTATGTTTTGAGCCATGTTTCCCCGTCAGTACAACATATTCATGGTGTATCACTTAAATATTCTTTGAGGGTTTTTCCTGTAGAGAAAAGCCAGATCATGTAAAGAAAACAAAGACTTTTTGGAAGGTGTCGTGTTGCAGCAGCTCACAGGGCAGTGGGAGTACAGACTGCCTCGTCTCTCAGCTTTCTGCCTTTTTCTCAGCGGAGCGCCGTGAGAACATGACATGAGCGGGTCTCCGGACCCGCTTTCTCCTCTGTGCCTTCCTACAAACAGACTAAAGCACTGGTGTGAAAGCGACACCAGGGGGCGATATTTAGGACGACGGTCAAGGCTAACAGAGAAGAATGATGAATGTGGTCGGTCCCTTAAATTCAGCCCGGCTCCGTTTGTCCGCGTTGTTTCAGAACTTCCTGCTCTTCCTTTGATGACTTAATAAGCTAAGATTCTCACTTTTTCTGTTTTTATGTGAATGCCAACGATTGACGGGGAGTTAGGCGGGAAGCTGAGGAATGCGAGCGGGAATGCGTGCATCCAGGGTGCTGTGCAAAAATCCTACCTGCTTTGAAACAATTTTAATCTTCAAACTGGTTTACTGAATGGCTCTGCGCTTCCTGAAGGCTCTCATTGTGTTTTATGACAGACTTTAGTTGCTTGATGTTTTATAGTTCAGCTGTCTTCTAATCAGCAGGTTTCACAGCTAAAATAAGTTTGACATGCAGAAAATAGTTGATGAACAGATTTAGCCACATCGCTGTTCCCTCTAATATTGAAAAAAAAAACAGTAAATTTATTTCTGCAGATTGGATGCAAGTTTAGTTTTCACTTTGACTCTTAAATTTGTCATCATGTACCCTGATTAAACTAAACTCTTCAAACTTAAACAGTTCATTTAAATGATTGGATCTAAAATAAATCTCTAAATTAAAACACTTTTTTGGGAACGAAAATGCAACACTAAATATTTATCTTCAATTTAAGTTGCATCTTTCAGAGGTTGGCGCTAACCAAAGAGCTTGTTCCGCAAACACACCACCAACATGCTAGTTAGCATATGCTAATGCTAAAGTGCTACCCTCAGTTCAAATTACAGTGACTCTTGGAAGACTGCAATCCTCTGGAACCAATTTCATTTAAAATGTTTGATGTTGCCATAAGACTGTGAAACAGCAATTGCTAAAAGAACTGAAGTCTTTATTCACTTCAAAATAAAAGACCGAATACTTGAAGAAAACGATAAAACTTCAACAGAAACGTCTGATCTGTAAACTGAAAGTTCACAGATCAATCAAGTCAATTGGTATTTTAGAATTAACCCAAAACATTCAGCTAAGGGAAGCTCAGTGTGCTAAGCACTATTTCGGCTAGTGCTAAAGCTAAAGCTAAAGCGCTTACTTGAAGTGATAAAAATCCTTCAACTATTTAAATAGTTCTTAACAGTTGATTACCAAAACTTAATTGAAAAGGTAAATTAACTCTTCAATTTATTAATAAACATCAGTTTAGGGGAAGCTAAGTCTGCTAAATGTTAGCTAAAGCAATAAGCTAAAACTTAGCTCCACTATTAGCAGAAGTATGCTAAAGGAGATCAGAAGCTATTTTCCACTTAAAACCCATGTGAGACTTAGACTAGCCTTCACTGATTGGATTTGATCGACCCAGTTGGGCGAATTATGATTGATAAAGGAGCTAAAATCCAAAGAGAAACTTCAGAAAACTGGAAGATCTGTTGATCAAAACCAGCATCAGCAGAACATTTAACGGTTTGCTAGCAAAGAGTTAAAAAACGAGGAGTGGTTTAAAACTTTTGCACAGCACTTACACCAGTGGAATCACGTCAAGCACAGCAAGTTGCCCTTATTTCACAAACTCACAGCAGATGCACGACGACGACCCCGAGGTCAGCAGACTAAAGCCTGGCGAACTTCCTTCCTGCAGCCGCGTTTCGAGTTAAAGTGACAGGGGCCGCCGACGCCCAGGCCTGGATTCAGATCGCAGCAACGACTCTTTGGGTTTGGAGACGCTGCGGCGAGACACAGAGGATGAGGACGAGGAAGAGCGAGCGAGCGAGCGCCGTGGTCGCTGCCAGGCGTTAGCCACGGCCTGCATGAGGGAGTCGCTGAGTTCACCGCTTAGATCCAGTTAGAGACAGAAACAAGGAGTTCTGGGAAACGTCCCGTCTCCGTGGGGTTAAAGGTCATTATTCAGTAGGACAGTTAGCCGCTCAGCTTGTTTGTTCAGAGTACATAACAGACTTTTGGTGGTAAAGACAATCGGGCTTCGTAATTTGGTGTTCTGAGACAGAGCCATCGGTGGCAGCGGGAAATATTGGTCAGTATTCGGAGAGACAGATTAAAAAAAAACCTGAAAAAAATCTCAAATTATAAAAGTGAATATCACTGTGTAATATTTATTCAACTTGTAATTTATGTACTCTTTTAACCTTTGTCTTTTTTGTAATGACAAAGCATTTATTTAAATAAAGTTATGTATTCATTTAAGCCGTCTGGTGTTTTCTGTTGGAATCATGCTGATCGTAAGCGGCTGATCTGATAAACCTCTTAGAGTAAATCTGAGGCGCAGCGAGCAGGAAGTGGCATTACGAACCCTGACCTGAGGGCGAGTCAGCAGTTCTGCTCACCGCCGAGGCCAGAAACTCCGGCAACCGACCCGCAACTCCAGCAACAGACCAGAAACTCTGGCAACCGACCCGCAACTCCAGCAACAGACCCGCAACTCTGGCAACCGACCCGCAACTCCAGCAACAGACCAGCAACTCTGGCAACCGACCCGCAACTCTAGCAACAGACCAGCAACTCCAGCAACTAGCCTGCAACTCTGGCAACCGACCTGCAACTCCAGCAACAGACCCGCAACTCCAGCAACAGACCAGCAACTCCAGCAACAGACTAGCAACAGACCCGCAACTCTGGCAACCGACCCGCAACTCCAGCAACAGACCCGCAACTCTAGCAACAGACCAGCAACTCCAGCAACTAGCCTGCAACTCTGGCAACCGACCTGCAACTCTGGCAACCAACCCGCAACTCTGGCAACCAACCTGCAACTCCAGCAACAGACCAGCAACTCCAGCAACAGACCAGCAACTCTAGCAACAGATTAGCAACTCTAGCAACAAACTAGCAACAGACCCGCAACTCCAGCAACAGACCAGCAACTCTGGCAACCAACCCGCAACTCCAGCAACAGACCAGCAACTCCAGCAACAGACCCGCAACTCTGGCAACCGACCGGCAACTCTGGCAACCAACCTGCAACTCCAGCAACAGACCAGCAACTCCAGCAACAGACCAGCAACAACAGACCAGCAACTCCAGCAACAGACCAGCAACTCCAGCAACAGACTAGCAACAGACCCGCAACTCTGGCAACCGACCCGCAACTCTGGCAACCGACCCGCAACTCTGGCAACAGACCCGCAACTCCAGAAACAGACCAGCAACTCCAGCAACAGACCAGCAACTCCAGCAACAGACCAGCAACTCCAGCAACAGACTAGCAACAGACCCGCAACTCTGGCAACCAACCTGCAACTCCAGCAACAGACCCGCAACTCCAGCAACAGACCAGCAACTCCAGCAACAGACCAGCAACTCCAGCAACAGACCAGCAACTCCAGCAACAGACTAGCAACAGACCCGCAACTCTGGCAACAGACGCAACTCCAGCAACAGACCAGCAACTCCAGCAACAGACCAGCAACTCTGGCAACCAACCTGCAACTCCAGCAACAGACCCGCAACTCCAGCAACAGACCCGCAACTCTAGCAACAGACCAGCAACAAGGTGAAGATGCTAACTAAAAGCTCAACTAAAAATACGTCCCATTAGCAGAAGTTTGTCTGCTGCTGCTGTTGAGCAACAGGAGCTACAATACCATCATTGATCAGCACAGCTAGCACAGCTAGCACAAATAGTTAATGGCACTAAAGTGCTGATCATAAATTAGTTCTGGTGACATAAACATGGCAGTAATGACATCATCACATCAGTGGTGCTTTTATTCAACGCAAGTTTACAAAACAAGAAAATTTGTGGAAAAATTCATGTATGGGAAGCTAAACATTTTCAAAGTTAGCAAAAATACTAACATCAGCTTCTCATGGTTTTATTTTTTCTCATGTTTTGCATTTTTTCACCATTAATTCATCTGGAAATCCTGCAGAACGTACAAATGAGTCGAGTAATTCGATGAAACGAGCGACTGGATGATGTCGTCTCTTCAGAGGCAGCAGATAAAAGCAGATCTGCAGGAATGCAGAGCGCAGGCTGGGACAATCGCACAAGTGTCTGCCAGTTTCCTCCAGCCTGTCATCAAAGACGGACTCCAAATGGAGGGTTCCTCCGCCGGATCGGATGTGACCGCCACCATAATCTCTCTTATATCCCACACACCATAAAACCAGAGCAGCGTACGGTAATATTTATGACATTTAACCACCGGGCACGGAAAGTGGCTCATGGACGGCTGAGGAATGTGTTAATGGGATCCGACCTGCAGCAGGAGAACCAGGGAGAAACCAGGTGACCCGAAACATGGCTGCCACGGCAAAACTTCACAACACGAAGCAGGCCTTTCCTGCTTCAGTGTGTCAAAGTGAAACCAGAGCAGTTATTAATATCCAAAAGGCACATTTCACTCCAGTTTCTACGACGGCGCGTCGGAGCCACTGCAGGTGGAAAACAGGAGGAAATTTCCATTAAAGAAAAATTATTTTCTTAAACTCAGAAAAAGCTGAGTTTGGAAATCAAACATTTGTTAGAAAAAATGAGAAACTTTGAGATTAATCTCATAAATTTTCTAGAAATAAAAATCATCGAGCTTTAAAAGTAAAAACATTTCAACTTTTGAAAATTTGAGTTCACATGTTTTTACTCTTGAAGCTCAGAAATTTCCCAGTTTTTTCTAGAAAACATCGGAGACTCGTTGCTGGTCCTCTGACTTTTCTCCTTGCTTTCCAAAAAACGCTTCAAATTTTGACAGAAACTCGTTTTATTTAGTGAAAACTTTCCGTTTGACATCAGGATGTTTTACTTTCCTACAATCAGAATCAGCCCTTCGGCCAGTGGTGGCGTTTTAAGTTGCGTTATAAATAAAAATGTATTTTATCGTTTAAAGTTGCTGATTCAGATATTTGGGTTTATGGGAATAAAAAGCCTTTAGAATCTCAGGCCATGTTGGACCAGAGGATCCAAACTTTTGGCCAAAATCGTCACATTTAAAGAGTTCAAGGGTCATTTTGTATTTTTATAAGACTTTTCTATTCGAGATTTTGTCCATTTATTTATTAAAAACATTATTTGTCCATGAAAAGTCTCCATGTGCTGCAAACTGGAGTTAAAGCACCATGTCAGCCAAAGTTTTGAAATCGGGGATCATTTCTCCGGTTGCAGTGATCAGATGTAGGGAGGATTTCCTGATCCAGCAAAGAAGATTTTATTCAGACCACTGTGTGCTTATTAACTACCGAGTCCAGGAGAAATCGGGCTGTAAAACTTTTATTTGAGAAATGTTTTAATTTCCACCTTCCAATGGAAAACGTGCTCTTCCTCCATCATGTTGATGCGCTTCAGTTTGACTCGTTGCTTCAGGAATGATCACAAAATCTGGTCCAACAGAAATGGGAGAAACTTTTGGTTTATAGTTGAAGTAAAAACTGTTTTCAGCAGAATGAAAGTGGACTCGGTGGGATTCCCACCGTTCCCCCTCTGCAGAGAGAGAGCCCAACTCTTCCCGCATAATAATTGTCTTTGATATAAAACTGATGTCTGCACTTCCTGGAGAACCTCGTCATTTCACCGAGATAAAACAACAATTATTTTGTTAACATTCAACAAGTCTGAGAAACAAACCCACAATCTGCACATCCCAGGAAGTTGTTGGAAGCTAACAAAACAAACAGGAGTCTTAAAGCAGGAACGTTATCGTCTCTGCAGAGATGCAAACAAAAGATTCTTCTTCTCATTCGTTTTCAACCTGAAAAAAACACCAAATGTGCAGAAAAGCCCAGAAACGCCTGCGATCCGAACTCCCTGCAGAACCTGCAGGCCAGTTCCGAAAACCCAGTAAAACCCAGTAAAACCCAGTAAAACCAGCGCAGGACGAAGCTGTAAAAGCCGTTTTCACAGCCGGCCTGGTGACCCGCTGCTTGGCACATTAGCACATGTATGAAGTTACCCGGGTCAGGACTGGGCTCATATGACCCGCTTTTGGCTCCGACTACAAACACGGCTCCTGCTTCCAACCCAGAACCGAATCCTGACGGCGACTGCAGGGACCAGCTTTGAATTCTGGGTAAATTTCTTATTCTGGCTGCATGAAAAGCTCAGAACCCGTCTGGGTTCCCGTCACTTTGGTGATTCTACAAGTTTTTAAATGTTTTTATAAGTTTAAGAGTCATGACTTTTATTCACTTGTGTCTTCAGTAAAATTGGTTCTGATTCATTTGTATCTTTTTACAGTTTTGTTCTAAACATCCTAGAAACATTCCTGCCAGAGAAAAAACATAAACAACAAATTTTCAACAAACTCAAAATCAGAATCTCTTTTGGATGCTTCAGTGCCAGAATGTAAAAACATTTCCAGCTAAATGTTGCAGCTGATAAAAATCTCCTTAATTTACGTAGAAAGTTCTGCAGAACTGATCCATCTGGGCTCAGCTGGTCCATTTAACTCCACAAAACCAAAGTGATGCTGAATAAAATGAGGATTTTGTCCAGATTTTATTAATTTTATAAACATAAAGGGAAACTACAGAATACAATGTGAATCTTACATAAAAACAATAAACTAACAATTTAGTTTGATTTCTTTAACAGTGAAAAAAGAATCGTCAACTTGTGTTTTTCTACTTTGAAGGAAACATTTCCAGTTTCATTTCCTGTCTGTCAGTCGGATGATGGACTGGAGAAACGTTGGGGAGCTGCGGAGCAGCGGCGAGCAGCGACTATCTTACCCAGTGTGAGCGGCGGTCAGTTTGGACAATCAGAGATTTTTTCACAGGAGTGAAACGAACAGCAGCTCAGAGCAGATCAGTTAGCATAGCATGCTAGCTGGTACACAATTTGGCCAAAACTAATTTCAAACGTTTCTGTGCTGTTATGTCAGGAAAATGACATGACAGCACAAAACGATTAGAAAACGTCGTGATGTTTTTCTATCCATTATCTACGATCACATTTCACAGCTCAGCAAAAAAATATCAGAAAAAAGAGAATAGAGACGGGAGCTAGCTTGACTTTGACAAACGTAACATTTAGATGTGAATTGGTTGCATTGCTTCGTTTGACGGTAAAATAATGAGCCTCTGTGTTTCTAAGGGTTTAACTTTATTTTATAGAAATTAGATAGAAAATAAGAATCTCCTGTGGCAGGAGCCGTCCTAATGCATGTCAATGTGCTGCAGCAGCCGATACGGTCTCGCTTTCCCTTTAAATATCTCTAAATTGTTTTAACAAGTCAGGTTTTACATAATATCTTCTTGTTATTTTTGGATTTTTATTTAGTAATTATATATAATTGTGAAGCAGCTTTTGTTCTGTGTTAGAAAATGTGAAAACAATCATATGTTAGATGAGGAAAATGATACTTTTATGCAACATGTCCAAACCCAAAGTAAAGGAGTTCAGACTCAAAGTTTGGCTGCAACCAACGAGAGAATGAACCTGCCAGAGCCAGAGGAGCCGCTGCAGGCGAAACAATGAAGAGAAATGAAAAATTAACAGAAGCATAAAGTCAGAACTCGAAGCTACAAAACCGTTTATCAGCAAAAACAAGTTTCATCATAAAGATTTGTGGCGCTTCAGGCTGCACTGTGTAGATGGCCAATTACAGAAGAAAAGGCATTTGCTTCTACCGAGTGCAGGATCAAACCCGGTGTGTGTGTGTGTGTGTGTGTGTGTGTGTGTGTGTGTGTGTGTGTGTGTGTGTGTGTGTGTGTGTGTGTGTGTGTGTGTGTGTGTGTGTTAGCGGGTCGTGGTGGCCGGCGCCTGCAGCGCCTCCTGGAAGCGGTGGCAGTCGGGGTCTCCTCTGACTCTGGGCGTCTCTGGGATCTGGACGCCCGTCAGCGGGTCCACACACCAGCACTCGCCCCGCTGGCCGTGCGTCGACATGTTGCACTGCAGGAGGAGCAGAAACAGCCAGGGGAGGGGCGCAGGAAGCACAGTGGGTTAATGAAGCATGGAGGGCTGTGTGTGAGGATCTTCTTCATTGGATAAGAGCCAGCGTTCTGGTTCTGGTGGGACGACATTCACCCAATAATAACCCGTCCACACACACCAACACACAAACACACACCAACACACAAACACACACCACACACACCAACACACATCAACACACACAATCAACACACACCACACAAACACACACAACACACACCAACACACACCAAACACAACCACACAACACACAAACACACACCAACACACACCAACACACACCAACACACAAACACACACCAACACACCAACACACATCAACACACATCAACACACCAACACACATCAACACACCAACACACCAACACACATCAACACACATCAACACACACAAACACACACCAACACACCAACACACACCAACACACCAACACACACCAACACCAACACATCAACACACACCAACACACCAACACACACCAACACACACCAACACACATCACACACCAACACACCAACACACACCAACACACACCAACACACATCAACACACCAACACACATCAACACACACAACACACCAACACACACCAACACACACCAACACACCAACACACACACAACACACCAACACACACCAACACACACCAACACACATCAACACACATCAACACACACCAACACACACAACACACACCAACACACCACACACACCAACACACCAACACAACACACAACAACACCAACACACAACACACACCAACACACCAACACACACAACACACACCAACACACCACACACACACACACAACACACACACCAACACACACCAACACACACCAACACACCAACACACACCAACACACACCAACACACACCAACACACAAACACCAACACACACCACACACACACCAACACACACCAACACACAACACACCAACACACACCAACACACCAACACACACCAACACACACCAACACCACCCACACACCAACACACACCAACACACACCAACACACAACACACACCAACAACACCAACACCACAAACACACCAACACACACCAACACACCAACACACACCAACAAACACCAACACACACAAACACACCAACACACCACAACACCAAAACACACCAACACACACACAAACACACCAACACACCAAACACACCAAAAACACAACAACAACACACCAACACACACCAACACAACACAACACACCAACACACACAACACACACACACAACACACACCAACACACACCAACACACCAACACACAACACAACAACACACAACACACACCAACACACCAACACACCAACACACCAACACACACAACACACACCAACACACACCAACACACCAACACACACCAACACACACCAAACACACACACACCAACACACACCAACACACACCAACACACCAACACACCAACACACACCAACACACAAACACACACACACACCAACACACACCAACACACCAACACACACCAACACACCAACACACACCAACACCACACCAACACACCCAACACACACCAACACAACACACACAACACACCAACACACACCAACACACCAACAACACCAACACACACCAACACACCAACACACACAACACACACCAACACACACAACACACCAACACACACCAACACACCAACACACCAACACACACCAACACACCACACCACACACACCAACACACACCAACACACACCAACACACCAACCACACCAACACACCAACACACACCAACACACAACACACACCAACACACCAACACACCAACACACACCAACACACCAACACACCAACACACACAACACACCACCACAACACAACACACAACACACCAACACACACAAACACACCAACACACCAACACACCAACACACCAACACACCAACACACAACACACCAAACACACCAACACACCAACACACACCAACACACACCAACACACACCAACACACCAACACACCAACACACACAACACACACCAACACACCACACACCAACACACACCAACACACACACACACACACACACACAACACAACACACCACACACAACACACACAACACACCAACACACCAACACACACAAACACACACACCAACACACACCACACACACCAACACACCAACACACACCAACATACACACACCAACACACACAAACACACACACACCAACACACCACACATATCAACACATCAACACACCAACACACACCAACACACCAACACACACCAACACACACCAACATACACCAACACACACCACACACCAACACAACCAACATACACCAACACACCAACACACCAACACATATCATCAACACACCAACACACACCACACACCACACACACAACACACACCAACAACACCAACACACACCAACACACACCAACACACCAACACACACCAACACACACCAACACACCAACACACACCAACATACACCAACACACACCAACACCAACACACAACAACACCAAAACACCAACACACAAAACACCAACACACCAAAACACCAACACACAAAACACCAACACACCAAAACACCAACACACAAAACACCAACACACCAAACACACCAACACACCACACACACCAACACACAAACCACACCAACACACACCAACACACCAACACACACCAACACACACCAACACACACCAACACACACCAACACACCAACACACCAACACACACCAACACACCAACACACCAACACACACCAACACACCAACACACACCAACACACCAACACACACCAACACCAACACACACCAACAACACCAACACACCAACACACACCAACACACACCAACACACACCAACACACACCAACACACACAACACACACCAACACAATCAACACACAACCACCAACACACCAACACACACCAACACACCAACACACCAACACACCACACACCACACCCCAACACCACCAACACACACCAACACACCAACACACACCAACACACACCAACACACACCAACACACACCACACCCACACACACACAAACACATCAACACACACCAAACACATCAACAACACCAACACACACCAACACACCAACACACACCAACACACACCACACACCAACACACCAACACACACAACACACACCACCACACCAACACACACCAACACACCAACACACACCAACACACAAACACACACAACACACCAACCAACACCCAACAAACACCACACCACACACCAACCACACACACCAACACACACAACACACAACACACCAACACACACCAACACACCACCACCACACCAACACACAAACACCACACCAACACACACCAACACACACCAAACACCCACACCACCACCACCACACCACCACCACCACACACCCCACCACACACACCACACCACCAACACACACCAAACACACACCACAACACACCAACACACCAACACACCAAACACCACCAACACACCCACCAACACCACACACACACACCACACACACACACACACACACACACACACACACACCACACACACACACACACACACACCACACACACACACACCACACACACACCAACACCCACACACACCACACACACACACACACACACACCACACCACACACACCAACACACCACCAACACACACCAACACACCACACACACCAACAACACCACCACCACACCACCACACCAACACCCCACACACCAACACACCAACACACACCAACATACACCAACACACCAACACACACACCACACCACACACACACACACACACACCACACACCAAACACACCAACACACACCACACACAACACACCACACCAACACACCCACACACACACACCACACACCAACACACACCACACACACAACACACCCACACACCAAACACACCCACCACACCACACACAACACACACAAACACAACAACACACCAACACACACCAACACACCACACCAACACACCAACACACCACCACACACACCAACACACACACACACCAACACACCAACACACAACACACCAACACACACCAACATACCACCACACACAACACACCAACCACATATCAACACATCAACCCACACAACAACACAACCAACCACCAACACACACCAACACACACCAACACACCAACACACATCAACACATCAACACACACCAACACACCAACACACACCAACACACCAACACACACCAACACACCAACACACCAACACACACCAACATACACACACAAACACACACACACCAACACACACCAACACATCAACACACCAACACACACCAACATACACCAACAACACCAACATACACCAACACACCAACACATCAACACACACCAACACACCAACACACAAACACACCAACACACACAACACACAAACACACATCAACACACACCAACACACCAACACACACCAACACACACCAACACACACCAACACACACCAACACACCAACACACACCAACACACACCAACACACAACACACACCAACACACATCAACACATCAACACACCAACACACCAACACACACCAACACACCAACACACCAACACACACCAACACACCAACACACACCAACACACACCAACACACCAACACACACCAACACACCAACACACCCACACAAACACACATCAACACACACCAACACATCAACACATCAACACACCAACACACACCAACACACCAACACACACCAACACACACCCACCACACCCACACACCAACACACCAACACACACTAACACATCAACACACATCAACACACACCAACACACATCAACACATCGACACACACCAACACACCAACACACACCAACACACACCAACACACACCAACACACCAACACACACCACACACACCAACACACCAACACACACCAACACACACCAACACACACCAACACACCAACACACCAACACACACCAACACACACCAACACACACCAACACACCAACACACCAAACACACAACACACACCAACACACACCAACACACACCAACACACCAACACACACCAACACACACCAACACACACCAACACACCAACACACACCAACACACACCAACACACCAACACACACCAACACACACCAACACACCAACACACCAACACACACAACACACCAACACACCAACACACCAACACACCAACACACACCAACACACCAACACACACACACACCAACACACCAACACACACCAACACACCAACACACACCAACACACCAACACATCAACACACCAACACACACCAACACACACCAACACACACCAACACACACCAACACACACCAACACACACCAACACACCAACACACACCAACACACCAACACACACCAACACACACCAACACACCAACACACACCAACACACACCAACACACCAACACACACCAACACACACCAACACACACCAACACACACCAACACACACCAACACACACCAACACACCAACACACACCAACACACCAACACACACTCCTCTCTCAAATGACGTCGTGATGGAAGCAGAATCGGCTCACGAGGGGAAAGTTTCTATTTTCTTCCTTTCATGAGGAAAAACATAGCAATGACAGTTACAGTAATTAGCGCGCGGCGCAGGAAGGTGCTGCAGCGTGGCAAAATGCTGCAGCACGGCGCAGAGGAAACACTCCAACTGTGGAGGAGGTACAGTGATGCATCCTGGGAACTGAGAAACAATGCTGCTGCTGCTGCTGCTGCTGCTGCTGCAACTGCTGCTGCTGCTGCAACTGCTGCTGCTGCTGCAGCCGCTGTCAGATCCTCGCTCTGCTCCACTATCGGCCTACGATCAAACCTGGTTGTGTGACCCTGTTTGTCCTTCGGCCTCTGATTTCTGCGGATGAGCAGAACTGGAACGTCGGCAGCACAACTCGTTCCCGGCTTAACCAAAGTCTCCCCTGCAGCACGCCAAACACTTTTATTGCCTTGTAACCTTCAGCGCAGGAGCCTGTTGTCTCATTCAGGAGGCAACAGGCTCTCACGCCTCAGAGTGTGTGTGTGTGTGTGTGTGTGTGTGTGTGTGTGTGTGTGTGTGTGTGTGTGTGTGTGTGTGTGTGTGTGTGTGTGTGTGTGTGAAGGCAGGAAGCTGAGAAACAGGAGTGTGTGTTGGAGTTTATAACGGATGGATCAGTGAGTTAAACATCCAAATCAAAACTTAAATGCTGAAAATCTTTTTCTCTGCTGTTAAAATTCAATCTAAAATTATAACTCATGTTTTATTCAGAGTGGGAGAAATTTAATAACTGATTAACGATTCACTGGAGAACAAAACGAGAATTTTATGAATAAAAAAAACAAACTCAGAAAAACCTTCAGAAAAATAGAAACATTTTGCATTTTAGCTAATAAACTTTTTCTGTAAGTCGGTTTTATCCAAATCTCCTCCAGCTGAAGTTTCAGCTTCACCCGGTTCACATTCTGGGTAAAAACATCCAGTTAAATCATATTTTGCATCCAATTACTAACTAGTTAATTCATAACCTAATCACCAGATCAGGCCTGGACTGCATCTCTGCTCAGTCCATCAGAAATGGACGACAGAGGAACACATCGGCTGATTTACGTCTTTATTTTACTGATTTGGTTTAAAAACTGAGTTTATTGTAAAACAGTCAGTATTTGTGTCTTTTTGCCATTTTGGCTGCATGATTTTGATCCGTGTGATAAAAGGTTTGACGCCTCCTGCGTTGTATGGATCGATTGTTCTGCACTGGACCACAGAGGTTGCAGGTTTAAATCCTGGCCTGGCCGCAGTGTGACATCAGCCTGCGGCGGCGGCGGCTCACCTGTTTCAGGTTGTACAGTCCGTGTCGGTCACAGTTGGGGAACTTGAGGCCGTACAGGTTCTCCAGCGGGCCCCGGTTGTCCTCTGAGGTCATCCTGGAGATCTCCTCCAGAACCAGGTCCAGCTCCTGCTGACAGGAGCTCTGGAGGAAACACAGCGGAAACGCGTTAAAACAGCCGGTGCCGCGCGGCTCCTGATGCAGTCATTGGTCAGAAGATCGATCAGTTTCGTTCTAACGCCTCGTTTTTCTCTTCATTTACACCCTGCTGAGAAACTGAGCCGCAAACGATGAGCAGCTGCTGCAGCGTCAGCCGTCCTTCACTTGTCGCTTTGCTCCAAACCAAAAACCTGCCCAAGCTGGGAAGAGAAACTGGAAAAGGTGAATATTTTGAGAAAAAAATTGGAGAAAAAAAGAAAAATAGGAAAAGGAAAAACATGTTTGTCTTTTTCATGATTTTAGAATATTTTCATCAGTTTGAACATTCAGGAAAAACTGTTGAGTCTGGAGAGCAGGAACAAACCAGAGACACTTTAAAGCTGCTCCATGTTGGAGTGACCTTTGACCTTGACCTATATCTGCATGGTGTTTTGCTTCAGTGATTATAATGGAAAGCAAACGTTGTACAGTCTGCTCACGGTCACATACAGCTCTGTGACCTCTGACCTCACACGTCCGCCCCCGGTCTATCCAGACCCCCGATTGGCTCGGCTCCCTGATTGACCCAGTTCCCAGCTTGGCTCTGCCCTCTGATTGGCCCACGTTCGCCCCGCCCCCTTTGCTGTTCATGTGGCGCTGATTCCTCTTCCTGTTTTGGCAAATGAGAGAAAACGAGCCGCAGTATCGCTGCTCTCATCAGAACCAACCCGGCCCAAACGCTGACCCGCCGCAGGCTGGCTTTTATTTTGAAGGGCTCACTCTGAGAGGTTGAATAAACCAGGTGGTGCAACTCTCCACAACACTGGTTGGATCTGAACGTTCAGTTAGTAAACTAAATATTTAGCTTCCTAATAAACCATTTAGTTTTAGTTTAATTATGAAATATTTACCTACAAACCAAATATTTCTGAGACGTTGTGGAGAAACATTCAGAGTTATGTAAAGTGGGTCCAGTCTGGGTTCAGTCTGGGTTCAGTCTGGGTTCCAGTCTGGATCCAGTCTGGGTTCAGTCTGGGGTCCAGTCTGGATCCAGTCTGGGTTCAGTCTGGGTTCCAGTCTGGGTTCCAGTCTGGATCCAGTCTGGGTTCCAGTCTGGATCCAGTCTGGGTTCCAGTCTGGATCCAGTCTGGGTTCAGTCTGGGTTCAGTCTGGGTTCAAGTCTGGGTTCCAGTCTGGGTTCCAGTCTGGGTTCAGTCTGGGTTCCAGTCTGGATCCAGTCTGGGTTCAGTCTGGATCCAGTCTGGGTTCCAGTCTATGTCCAGTCTGGGTTCCAGTCTGGATCCAGTCTGGGTTCAGTCTGGGTTCAAGTCTGGGTTCCAGTCTGGGTTCCAGTCTGGATCCAGTCTGGGTTCCAGTCTGGATCCAGTCTGGGTTCAGTCTGGATCCAGTCTGGGTTCAGTCTGGGTTCAGTCTGGGTTCAGTCTGGATCCAGTCTGGATCCAGTCTGGGTTCAGTCTGGGGTCCAGTCTGGGTTCAGTCTGGGTTCCAGTCTGGGTTCCAGTCTGGATCCAGTCTGGGTTCAGTCTGGGGTCCAGTCTGGATCCAGTCTGGGTTCAGTCTGGGTTCCAGTCTGGGGTCCAGTCTGGATCCAGTCTGGATCCAGTCTGGGTTCAGTCTGGATCCAGTCTGGGTTCAGTCTGGGGTCCAGTCTGGATCCAGTCTGGGTTCAGTCTGGGTTCCAGTCTGGGTTCCAGTCTGGGTTCAGTCTGGGTTCCAGTCTGGATCCAGTCTGGGTTCAGTCTGGATCCAGTCTGGGTTCAGTCTGGGTTCCAGTCTGGGGTCCAGTCTGGATCCAGTCTGGATCCAGTCTGGGTTCCAGTCTGGGTTCCAGTCTGGATCCAGTCTGGGTTCAGTCTGGGGTCCAGTCTGGGTGTGAGTTGTGGAGGTTCTGACCGGCGGTTCTCTCTGGACTCGCTCGTCCTGCAGGCTGGTCCTCATCCTGGTTCTGAGCTCGTTCTGAGTCTGAATCCGGACTTTCTCCTGCCGGTTCCAGGGGTCCGGCAGCGGCCTCTTCACCAGAGGACTCTCGGTGCCGAGCACCTCTGCAGGGAAACGACAGAAAAACAAGCTTTACATGTGCCGCATGCGGTCGGCGGTTCGGCCCGCCCGCTCCGATCTGCAGCCGTTTGGTTCCGAAGCGTCTCCTTCCTGCTACAAGCGCAGCTCTGAATCCTGGAATTACAGGACAATGTCAGTCTGTGTCCCCGGGGCCTCCCGGTGACTAATGCTGCGGCGAACGCTCAGGTGCTGCGACGGCTGCAATTACAGTGGCGACAGTGAGGTCACATCCTGTAAAGCTCCAGTTGGGCTTCGTTAGGCAGAAATTATGACCCAGATTCCAGAGATTTCCTCTGAGACAGCGCGGAGTCCTGCAGCTCTTCAGATGCGTCTTTGTTCCGACGCGGCTCATTTTAACGGTTAATTAACGCGACTTCGTGAAACTCGGAGGTTCAAAGGGCGTTTCAGGATGGAAACAACAGGAAGTCGTTAGGAACAAGCAGGAAGCATTTAGTCAAACAGCATCATCATGCAAACACGCATCATATTTATTAATCAACGTTCCAGTTGTTATGAATCGACAGAAGGCCGACTTTGCAACCGTCTCTCTGTGACTGTGAAGGCTCAGGTCAAAGGTCAGCCTGATCAGTAGTCTCCACCTGTAATAACTGAGCTGACTCCAGATCGTTCCTGTTGAAATCCAAACATAATAACTTCAGATTTTTACAGCAGTGACCTTTGAACCCAACTCTGGACACCTGCTGTGAAAAAAAAGGTGAACAAAATCAGGACATCTGGAGGTTTGCAAAGCTTAAAGCTTTCTCTCATCTTTAGGCCGTGAATCTAAACCATCCCACAACATCTCTGGCCTCTACCTCCCTTCTGCCACCCCACAGCATGATGCTGCCACCACCGTGTCCCGCTGTGGTGATGTGTGCTGGCGGTTTTGGCCCGTCGTCGTGTCTGTTGCGTTGCTCTGAGCAGAGCGCCCTCACCTACATGCTGGCAAACTCAAAATGTCTCATGCGTCAAATCCCAGGTTTGCAGTTTTTCGTTCGCTGAAAGATCAAACAGTCGGAGCTGAAAGCCTGAAACGGAGACAAACTGACAGTGAACTCTGCATGGATCAGGATTCAGAGCGGCGACACTTCTTATCAGCAAGAAGGAGCCGAGAGTCGAGGATTCTCGTCCTGGGAGTTCAGACTTGTCGGGAGGCAGAACCGATGCTGAGTCAGCAGCTCGTTCCTGCCAGAGGCTTGGAGCTGCGGCTGGTGTCGGTGTAATTAGCACCGAAACAGAACGCAGACGCTGTAAATCAGCTCCACGTCCCGGAGCTGTGTGTTCACAGCACACACACACACGCAGGCACACGCACACACACACGCCAGGTGGGAAACCTGCAACAGCATGACTCTGATTTTATTTTCTGATGTAAAATCTTCCAGGAAAAATGACATTTCTGGAGGTCACTTTGTCACTCCATTTAAACAAATGTTTGTCTCCTTTATTTAGCCAAATGTTGACTATTCCGTCTCTGGCCAGCAGGTGGCAACGTTATCTGTTAAAAAAAATAAGGTTTTAACTCTTCAATGCCTACATTTATATCCAGTTGTGACTAAATGTAAGCGTATGATGCTAATTAGATCGATGAGCCATTTAAAGGGCCAGTATTATGTGTTTTCATTTTACAGCACAATAAAGTAACTCTGTTACCTTCAATTATAAAAATGATACATATAAATATGACTAAAATGTTATTTGACTTACTGATGAAAAGCTTAAAAATTGGGCCTCTGGTTCTTTAAGAAACTCCTGCTCTTCCTGAAGCTCCGCCTCCAGGAAGTCGTCCCAACATGGCTCCTCTATTAACCCTCTAACGTTTTTCCCAGCGTTGCTCTGAGCAGCTGCACCTCGGAGGCGGAGCTAGTTCCACCCAGGTGTTTTGCTGCTGAATGGTTGCCATGGAGATTGAAGGCAAACATGAAATAATCAAAGCAAAACTCCAGAGAAAAACATAACATAAAAGATAAAGAAAAGTATGTTTTTCATGATACCGGCCCTTAAAAGCTGCAATTTGTAACTTTTATGAACAAAATGTTTTTATTCCATATTTGTTAAAACTGTCACTGTGTCCTGACAGTATGAGCAGAAAATTTATCAACAATAATGGAGCTCTTCTGTCTCCTCCCAGTGGTTCTACTGCCATCTGCAGAAATGCACCATCCCCATCAGGAACAACCAATCAGAACCTGAAGGAGGGTCTTAGGGCTGTCAATCACCCTCACGTACATCTCCTTGCTCTCTGCAGCTAGTTCCCACACAGCAAAGCATGCCACAGATGCTAATGCTAGTTAGCATGGCCACAGATGGGTTTTTAGTGACGGTAAGTTGCTTCTCCACCATTAGCACTTTGAGCAGCGCGTACACGAGGGTGAAGAACAAAGCAACATCTAGAATAACTGGACTGAGGTTTTCTACACTGTGCGGCCATGTTGCTCGACTCTATCGGATGGACATGTTTACAAGCCCAACCCGAGTCAGCAGCCGTTGCTAGAGCTAAAGTCGGGTTCAGAAGGTATTTTGGGATGGTGTCAGACCTGCGTAACCACGGCTGCCTGCCCTCCAAACAGCGTCTGTTCTGCCTCAGAAACCACCTGTCTGAAGCTGCGGAGGGCTGGCTCTGGCTCGTGCCTTTGAGCGATGCTTTCACAGCTTTCTCAACACGCACAATGAGTAATGAGCGCCTCGCCGACTGTTGCTTCTCATTAATGCGTTTGCCCTGTTATCATATAGAGGCGAGTCTCAGACAGCATCAGGGCCTTTGATGGCTGGACAATGCGCCATTGTGAGCAGGAATGCCTCTTCCTGACGGCCCGACACTTCAAAGGTGCTGGTAGTTCATGCTTTCAGCCTTTAAGCACGTTTTCCTGTCAGGGTCGAGACTCAAACCGCTGTCCCAACATCTCCAGTCTTCTGCTAATTCTGGCCCAGAAATCAAACGGCCGACGTTTGGTGAAGCTCTCCATGAACCTCGGGTCGTTCTCCTACAGGACGGTACCAGAAAGGTTCCATCAGAGCACGATTGATCCGGACACATTACAGAAGCAGTTCATCGTTGACGACCTGAACTCAGTCAGCGAGGATTGGACCAAACTTCATCAGTGCAGATCGCCCAGCAGCTTCTGCACTCCCATGTCACCAGCTAAATGAAAACTCGATTTCTAGCTTAACTTCCAGCATGCTGATGTGAGGCTGAGGTGACGTCTCACAAATAAATAAAAACTCTATGGCACATTCCTTGATAGAGGTAGCAAGTTTAGATTATTTTGATTTTTGCACCATTTTTATGAAAAGAGGCTTATTTATTGGTCTAAGCTACCAATAAAGTTGGTTGTGCTAAGCGTAAAGCATAAAGTTAGTTACGCTAAAGCGCTACAGCGACACGGTACCTAGCAGAAGCTAAAACTCACTCTGCAGGACTGGACCTGCAGGTCCAGCAGCAAAACATTTACTTCTCAGGTAAAGTTAGAAACAGTGAATGAAGGAAGCAGCAGCAGGCAGCCACACGCCGATCGGCTGCAGCTTCATCCATCACATATCCTCCTGGAGTAATTAAAGAGCAGAGCGTGAGTGAAGAGGAGAGCAAGTTCCAGCAGAGAATCTCCTGCAGGGGAGCCGAGCGAAGCCACAGCATTAAAACACAGAAACACTAAGATCTGTTTACGCTGGATTTATGACCCCCGTTAAATTTACAGCACGTTTAATTTCACTAAAATATTTACAGGAAGAACATAATTGGGGTTTATTGAAATCTTCATAATGTTTGGGGAGGGCAGACAATTCAGCATTTTTAAATCTTCAGGAACTAAAATTCTGTCTTGATTTATGAACCTGAATCATGTTGATCCAGGAGCCGTGCACGCTAGTCGCTCACGTGCCGCGCATGCTAGCTGCTCCAAATGAAGCCTCGCCGTTTTAAATGTGGCAGCCATGTTGATTACACGGCAGCCATGTTGGATGCACGGCAGCCATATTGATTACACGGCAGCCATGTTGGATGCACGGCAGCCATGTTGGTTGCACGGCAGCCATGTTGGTTGCACGGCAGCCATTTAGACTGTTAGTTATTTCGTATGCATGTTATTTGTTTTGAATGTGTATTTTCAATTTAAACATGTTAGTCATGCTAAACGTGCGATAGCCTGTGTTGGCGCATGCTAGCAGTTTCACGTGTGTGCTAGTCATTGTTTTAATGGGATGTTCTCCATTTTAGACGCATGTTAGTGATTTTAGATGTTTAACCTTCCAGTTTCTCAGATCTGACAGATTCTGGCTTCACAGTTTTGAAGAAAGATTAGTTACAAACTCTGACTTTATAAAAACACACTGTGGTTTTCTGCAACACTTGTGTTTACAACATGGAACACAAAAATAAAGAAACTGAATTCTGAGATCAACTTATTTTTCCATCTCCATGGAGAATTTGTCCAGTACATCAAGCAGAGACTGAAGTCTGGTGTCTGTCATGGTGACACTTCCAGAAATAATTCCTCCTCTTCTGCCGTGTTTTTCAAGTGGTAGCTGGATTTGATGCTTCCGACTTTGGCCGCCAGATTCCCAAGTGCTTTTCTCGCTCTCCAGAGAAAACACTGTCAGAACGGCGACGCTGCTGGCAGCGGAAAACCTATAAAGTTTCAACTTTTCAATTAAGCCAGAATAACAGAGCCGTGCTGAACGAAGAGTATGCGTCGCTCGACAGACCTTCCCAGCATAAATACTGTGCATGTTGAAATGTTGACGGCTAAAACAAATATTGTTGTACGATGATGCATCCGAGTCGCTGACAGATCTGCCACACCTGGCATGTCGCTTCAGCTCCTCCGGACAGACAGCAAATTCACTTCCTTTGTCCAGAAACTTTGATTTCGAAGTTAAAGTGGAGCAGCGGAGGAATGGAAATCTGGACAGACCAAAACATCCTTCACATGTTCGCATGCAACGTCTCCTTGGAGGTTCGGCCAGGCGGAGGCTGATGCTGCCTGCAGTGTTTAAAAAGTCCTGAACTGAGGAAACCACAGGCTGGAACGATGCTCGTTTTCAGCTGGTTTCTGCGGTCTGCACAGAGGATGGGAAGTCAAACAGGGAATGCAGAAAAATCGATCATGTCATCGGCTGCAGTTCCACAAGATGCCATGAGGCAGACTCTTCATTCTCTGCTATTAAATCTTCTTCACTTGTGGCTTTAAGTTAAAAAGACAGAAGAAGACAAAAGTTCATGTTTTCAGTTCGAAGCCACAGCAACAAGAAAAGACGAGGTTGAGCAATCAGGCCGAAATCATAACCATGGAGATGTTTCCTAACAACATGGAGTTCACCTCCATGTCAATGTACCTGCTGTCTCCTGAACCCCTTCAAAATAAGAGCCCTGTGGCAGGTTCACTGCTTGTTCCCGCTCAGATGTGGGTTTGGAGCATTTCATATGTCAACATTAACTTTCACAGATCAATACTGGCACTTTGTCCCGTCTCACAGCAGGGGATCCACATCCTGTGGGATTTCACTTATTTGTTTTATGCAGGTGGCATCTAAAAACGGAAAATAAAAATACTGTTTCCAATTAGTGATATATTTCTGATTCTAGTTTCATGACTTCCTGATTCACTCTGTTCAGTTTCTGACAAAACTAAAAGCGGTTCATGTTGCAGACCATTTGGTGACCATTACAGATTTTCTGGGATTTCCCAGTCAGGAGAAATTAAAGGAAAAATTCAAACTATGTTAAAACTCCATCCAGAACATTACATCTTTGGTCTGAAGCCTTTGGGTGGACTGGGGAGAAAAACTGAAGATATTTCCAATCTGTTTTATGAAAACACGCTGTTGGCTGACAGCCTCTCTCACTTCTTCAACGGTAAAAAGGTTTGAAAACAACCAGACTGAACAGAATTACTGAAAAACTTCATTTGAAACTGGATTTGTTTCCCATCTGGTCTTCAACCTGTTTGGCTGGACATAACCGAATACATTTATTTTTCTTATCATTTTCTTTAACCCTCTTCACAAAACATGTTTAAGATTCAATTATGTAATAATTCAGTTCAGCTGAAATGAACTTTTTGAATCCTCCATCGTGTCGTAATGTTTTTCCTGCAGTGCTGCTCCACGGCAACCATTCAGCTGCTAAACATCTGGGTGGAGATAGCCCCGCCTACAAGAAGAAGCTCCTCCCCCACTCAGCTCCTACAGACTAGCCAGCAGTAATTAGCAAACAGCTGGTGGAACTGCTGAGCTCGTTATAGTAGCTGCTGCTCAGAGAAACGCTGGTAAAAACGTTAAAGGGTTGATAGAGGAGCCATGTTGGGATCACTTCCTGGAGGCGGAGCTTCAGAAACAGCAGGAGTTTCTTAAAGAGACACAGGCCCAATTTCAAGGCATTAAATCAGGAGGTAGCATTAATACATGTAGCATTTTGTAACAAATGCAAAAACACAAAATCTCACCAGCATTTCGGTCTAGTGTTTAGTGCAAATATCAAAGTAATCCTGAAATAAGACAAACTGACTTAAAAGTGTTTCATCAATTTATAGAGGCGTTCTTTAAGTAAGCAATTCCTTAATTTTGATGAAAACTTTCTATTATTTCACTTATAAGACATTTTCCCAAGTCAGACTGAACATCTGCCAAATGACAAAGAATTTTTCATCAAAATTATGTAAGATTTACTTAAATATCTTACTAGAAACAATAAGTTTGGAGGAAATGTAGTTACTTGATTTCTCTATAAAGTGGCACCATGTGCCTGGAAAACACATCAAGCTGCATTAATCAGAAGAATTGAGTGAACTGGGTCAGCATTTGTAGTGAGAGACGTTGGGCAGAATGTGACCAGAATCCGTCTCATTTAGAGCAAAATGCTTCATGAAGAGGATGAACCTCTTACCATTAGTGGGCAGCAGGTCCAAACTCAGGTCCTGCTCCACACCGCGCGTGCATCGGCCGAAGCCCTGGATGAGCTGCTGCAGGGGCAGCTCTGCGTCCAGGCTGGGGGAGCACAGCAGCCCGGTGGAGCAGCGCGGCGTGTAAACCCCGCAGAACTCCCCCTCCAGGCGGGCGCACACCGGGCAGCAGCCGCAGCCCGGCTCCCGCACGATCTCTGCGCACAGCGTGACCTTAGGGCAGCCGTTCTGGTTCTCCGCCGTGCAGCGCGGGCATCTGAACACCAGATCCCCACGCAGGAGTCCAGGGAGGGCGAGGACAGCGAGCAGGAGGCCGAACATCACTGCAGCGACTGCTGGGGCGGAAATGAGGCCGGGGTCATCTGATGAACCTGACGATCCGCTGGCAGGTCAGCGGCCCGTTAGGTAAACACGCTGACTGGGTCCTACTGCTGTCATATTACCCACTGAGCCAAACGGGGTCGACTGCAGCACAGCTGACAGGAGACACATGTACTCAGCCACGCTTGATTTTTACTGCCTGCAGTTTCACTTTTACTCAAGTCATTTTATTATGAAGTGTTTCTAGCCTGACTTTCTGGATTCTCCACTGAATGAAAACAAACCAAACATTCACCAGACACAGACCTGCAGTTCTTCAAGTTTCATAACTTTTATATTGAAAGAAACTGATTTGGAAAAATTTCTTTTTTATATGAATTTTTGTCATTTTGGTTCTTAAAATACCAAAATTTCCTCTTCACTTTATATTTTGGTCCATCTCATTTTAATTTTACTCAAATTTTTGGAAACTGTCACCTTTGTTCAGATATCTTAGTGCAATCTTCAATATGTCTCATACAAGAAAAGAAAAGTTTGTTCCACATCTTTTCAGAATCCTGCAGTTGCGTTTCTATTCACCATAAAATTGTTTAAATACAAAATAAATTCCTTCATCAGAATTCAAGGTTTTCAATTTGGCTTCAAGTTTCTCAGTTGGTTTTTCAGCTGTGTTGAAATGGATTTATTTCCCAAACTCCAATGGAAACTGTATTTCACATTGAGTTCAGTTACTACTGGTGGAAACGCCAAAGAAGACGACGGGAAGTGGTGGGAGGACGGTGGTTTTTCTGGCTCCGGAGCTCTCACAGCGTCTTAGTTTATAAAAAGTTGCGTCGTTCCAATGTATTGAATCCAAACCTCTTCAGTAAAATCGTGAGACTAATTACTACAGAGGGCAGCAGCTGCCCAGCAGGGAGCCTCTGCCACAGCCTGCTTCATGGAGACAGCTCCTGACTTTAAGCTCTGATCTTCAGCCAGCAGACTCAACGACTTCCACAAATATTTACCAACTGCAGCCACAAGGGGGCGCTACATGCAAACACATGGGAGCTCAGCATGCAGCAGGAAGTTCATCTATTCTGCCCAAAACACAAACACAGAACAAAACTACACTGAATATTAGACGGGAAATAATGGATTTTGACAACATATCAAGTATTTATTTTGTCTGTGTTTGCATTTTTACAGTCTCCACTGTCTGTAAAAATTAAAAATGGCTACCAGCTCCATCAGTGGTTTCTACTGCAGGATGAGGAGAGATTTTTATTTTAAAGACCATTAATCCTGACCAAAACAAAAATGGCTTCCAGCCTAAACTGTCAACAGAAAACTGGTTTAGGAGAACCATTCTCATTATTATTATGCCAGCATTATATTACTTGAAAATGGTCTGAAATATTATCGTTTATCGCAATAACTTTATCGTCCAGCCATCACGACTCGGCAGAAAGAGCTCACAGTTTAAACTAATAATTCTCCCCAGTTTCTCAAAATAACCTCAAAGCTGAAGAAAGTGCAGCTTTTGTAACGTTTGGAGGGGATTTAACTTGGGAATCGAACCGTCCTTCTTCTCGCTTTGCATTTCCATGACGATAAAAATGCACAAAGGCACCAGCAGGAGTCATCTTTCAGCACCGGCTTCCTGCTCATGTGGAAATGTTTTCTCACGGCCGCTGCGCTGCATTACGTGGGTTATTGTGTGTAGCCGCTGCTTAGCAACTCCGCCTGAATGGGCATCAGCTGAACAATGTGGAAGCGTTTGAGTTTCCTCCTGATGCTGAGAGACGTTGGAACCGAACGATCCGGGGCGAAGCCGCTCACTTTTTCCACTCAGCCTGATAATTTGGCGCAGCAGCAGATTAATGAGATTTCAGGGCAGCTGAATATTATCTAACACGTCTGGAATATATGATAAAGTCGGAACCGGATTAGCCGGAGGGTTTTCCTCCGGAGCAGGAAGCAGGGCTGGATCCTTATCCCAGGATTCTGGACGTGACCTTAACAAGCTGTAATGGTTTCTGGCCTGACAGCCGTCATGCTGCGGGCCACAGTTTCCACAGGGTCCCACTGCTAATGGGAGAAGATTTGTTTTCCTGTTCAGCCTCGTCCGGGGCTTCGATCCTCCGCCAGCAGCCATGAAGAGAAGTTAAAATAGTTTCACATCGTTTAATAATCACAACAGGCGTTATACACTGAAACCTGACAGCTGATGTCCAGCAGCCGGAAATGAGGCTTTTCCGACACCAGAAGTTTTAACCCAGACTTTTTAGCAGAATTGCTTTAATTCGGCCGCATTGGTCGGATTTCAGCCCAGACTTTAACTAGGCCAATCCATACACTGATGTTGGGCAACAGACAGGAACAATTCAGAGTCATTAATGGGAGAAATTTGGTCACTAACTGACTTTTGATCGAGATTTGAAACAGAAGCAGTGAAACCTGGGTCTGGGTTCGGTGACGAGTGGGCGTGGCTATGACATAAGGTGGTTGCTATAGAAACGCTTCCTTCCTCTTTCTGCAATAATTACACATTTTTTGTTTCTTATCTGGTGCAGTCAGAGCTCCAACTGGAAACCCCCCAAAACAGAAATGCAAGAAATGAGGCTTTTCTGTCCCAACTTCCTCCAGCAAAGTCATGTTGACCTGAACAAGAAACACCAATTTAATATCCAGAGATCCTAGAAACACTTCACTCAAACATCCCACTGGACTTTCTCCAGCTGTGACTGGGAAAGGCCTCCCAGCAAGACCTAAACAGGGACATTAAGCATGCGGACGCCGTGACTCTGAGGTCGTAGGTCATGTATTTTTGGGTCCGAGGGCGAAACATGGAGATGGGAAACGGCCAGAACCCGCCTGGGAAAGGAAGCAGGCTGCCCACTGCTGTTGCTCAATCTAATTACCTCCAGAGGTAAAACCGGACCCATCAGTGGTTCTTCTGACTGGGACTGAACGGGTTTGGCTGAGGAAACAAACACCGAGCGGATCGCAGCTGACGAGGTGCGTAATAACTACAGATTAGCTGCGTTCAGCTTCTTTTGTGTAAACAGAAATATTCAACTTAAAATGCTCCGACTGTCTGCTGGGAAGCAGACTGGTGTGGGAAAGTAGCGCGTGTTTTTATTCATTCTGATTTTAGGTGATGTGGTCGTCCTGCGAGTCAGAATAAGAACATTCTGGATATTTCTGACACACAGATGAACATCAGATCTTCCCAGATGATGCCGTCTGTTCTCCTGCTGACACTTTTAGCCACCTGGGCAGGTAACGTTCTCTCACTCAGTCACCATATATTTAAAACAGACACATTAAATCCTTTGAGCTGGTTAAACATTTTAAACCTGTGAGGTGACATGGAGATGTTCTACCGGAACCAGTGAGTCCAAAAATCAGGAAACAACGTTGCTTCACTGACCGACGGGCAGAAAGACTCAGGATAACGATTGAGACTGAGCAGATCAGGTTCACAGCTTCTGCTTGCTAAGCTCCTAGCTACTGGTCAGCACAGCTAACTTTAGCTAAAGCTCTAATCAGGAACATTTGTCATGCTAATCCTAAAGTACTACACCAAGATGCTATGTAGCAAAAGCTAATGCTAAAGTGCTACACCAAGATGCTACGTAGCAAAAGCTAATGCTAAAGTGCTACACCAAGATGCTATTTAGCAAAAGCTAATGCTAAAGTGCTACACCAAGATGCTACGTAGCAAAAGCTAATGCTAAAGTGCTACACCAAGATGCTATGTAGCAAAAGCTAATGCTAAAGTGCTACACCAAGATGCTATTTAGCAAAAGCTAATGCTAAAGTGCTACACCAAGATGCTATTTAGCAAAAGCTAATGCTAAAGTGCTACACCAAGATGCTATGTAGCAAAAGCTAATGCTAAAGTGTGAAATTCAAACGTTTATGTCCACTGTGCATCAACACAAATGATGACGTCATCTTCAACAAAATGAAATGTATTGTTGCGTTGCAGCAATGTCATTTATTACCCAGAATGCATTGCTGTATTTGTATAGTAAACTGTTTAAAATCTACTGAATCACTTCCTGAAACGTGAGAAATCACAGAGTTGACCGTCTGAAGGTAAAACGGTAAACTGAAGCACATGAAGCACGTTGACACATGGCGGATATGAACATGTTTTACCTTAGCTTTAGCATTAGCTTCTGCTAGATATCATCTGGTTTAGCGCTTTCAGTTTAGCAGAACCAACTTTTTAGTTAGTGGCTTCTACCAATGGGTTTTGAGTGGCCTAGCCAAACTCTGGATGTCAGTCATGACCCAGAACAATCAGTTTGTGCTGGAAAACCGACTTTGATTAGAAGGATTCTGCAAAGCGGAGCGGCTCCAGATGCCTCCACATCACAAACACTAGATGGCGCCATTGGTGGAGCGTTTGGGTTTGGGTGTCATTACTTTTACGGGCTAAAAGTAAGCATCTTTAGCCTGTTGATCCGTCGTTTTAAAACTGCAGACTTTTTTCTGAGTGAACAGAAATCGATGGTTTTTCTCTCCAACTGACTGATGACGTTTGATAGATATTCAGTGACCAAACAAAAACGTTTCTGCAGCAGAGAAACAACAAGCAGCTGCATGCGGATGGTTTTCACAGAGAATCGCTGAATAATTTAAGAAACAATAACAAGAATGTCAGAAATGGACCGAGTCCAGCCTCAGAGCCGGGTCCAACAGAAATATTTAGAACTTGCAGCGAAACGCGGTGGATTTAATGCTTTTGGCTCATTAACCTGTCAGAATGCAGGCCTTACAGAAACTGTGCTGCTGTATTTTACACAAACCCGAACCGGGTCCAAATCAAACACAGTTTAGATCTGGAGGCTGCGCATTAAAACAACACAGTTATCAATTATGTGCAGAGTAATAATAAAAAGCGCATTTAAACCAGCAGTGGCCCTAATCACGCTTGTTTTCTCCAGGAACCGACGGTGACGTTATCCCACCCTGCAACCAGAACCAGTTCCACTTCAGCGTCCAGAACTGCAGGTCC